AAAAAAAATTCAGAAATGATAATGTGAAATAATAATGAGAAGAAATGAAAGGAACCCCTTGAACAGTTGAATTGGATGTCATACAAATAACGGTTAAATTGAAGCACATCTCATTGGCTCGTGCAGCTGTCATGCACAATAACGATACAACTAAAACAACGAATCGTGTATATCCGAACAGTGATTTATATGATGATTGCGGTTTTTGACATTGCACACGAATATGATTGGTTTGTCGTTGTTCATGGAGTAATTTTTTGGTTGATTCAATCTCATGCGATTTATCGATAATCGTGACTTTTACGTCATCATCATTCTTCAATTCTTTTTCGTCGTTATTCTCAACGCCGTTCCGAGCCACCAACGGTGAAGCATCGTTGGTCATTTCACCGCTGTAACTGATCACTTTCAGTGTCAGTAACGCTGAAATATGTTAAATGAGTTAAGGAAACAATTAATGATAAATGAATAGCCTTCAACGAAAATTTAGTAGCTGTTAAAAAGTTGTTAGGTGCAATGCTTTCGCGAGTTGATGAAACCCGTTCATTTTTAGAGTGCTCGACTGATTCGAATCACATCAAGTGCAATGAAGCGATTAAATAATCATCGCGTTAAACTCACCTAAAAAATGCTGACAGCGAGACGCACGACTACTTATTATGTTTACTTTATTTTGTTTGCACTAAGACTTCATCACATGAATCAAACATACAACTAACTGATTACTTCATTAAATTCTCTTATTTCATACGTACTCACAACCGCATTGTTCGCTTCGTTTGCATCAGAATAACGCTCAAAATGATTGTATATAACTTCAATATGTATATAACTCAAGTGGATTCAACAGAAACTGGTGCGATTCCACATCTTAAAGCATTATCTGCGATATAAAATACTGTTCGTAATCACTAATGCTTTAGCACTTCAGCGTAACCCGTTGAATGCATACAGTCATTCAACACAGGCGTTTATTCCTGAATTTAGTAACCCAATTTTGATGAGCTACTTCGAGAATGTAAACTACGCACAAGAATAAGAATATTTTGAAGAGACCTACGTAAACCCACTTGAAATTGAGCTGTCAGGCACTCGAATTGATGTAGAAATAATAAGAATATTGTTGGATGTATTACCTTCAAAAATATATCATTACATGTTCACGGCCTGAAAATATCGACAATTCATTGTAACCGGTTGACTGAAGCTGAAAGAATTCAAGCGCGATTCGTCGATCAGTGAATTGAGATTCAGTGAATGAACTAGCAGTTGATTCGATAAGATGCAAATTCAGTTACAGTATTGAAGTGCGAAGTGTTAAAGACAGCATACTCAATGTCTGTTCACAATATGCATTAATAAGCAAACCAAAACGCAGCTAAGCACTGCTCCATATCACTTATAACATCAGATCAGCAAAAATTCAGCTGTACTATGTTTCAGTCACTAAATAAACCGAAACTTATTTTTTGGTATAAGTTTTCATTCGATAATGTATTTGAATGGCAGTTATCAAGTAAATCGATCGCTTTTACTAGAACGTTTGCTATAATTCGTTTTCA